CTCCCAGGCTGTCAATCTTCCCAGAAGCAAAGCCCAAACCACACCCACTGCCATGGAGTCCATTCTGACCCACAGCGCCCCTAGAGGACAGAGTGGAACTGCCCACAGGGTCTCCCAGGCTGTCAAATCTTCCCAGAAGCAAAGCCCAAACCATACCCACTGCCGTGGAGTCCATTCTCACCCACAGTACCCCTAGAGGACAGAGTGGAACTGCCCACAGGGTCTCCCAGGCTGTCAATCTTCCCAGAAGCAAAGCCCAAACCACACCCACTGCCGTGGAGTCCATTCTCACCCACAGCGCCCCTAGAGGACAGAGTGGAACTGCACCATACGTTTACTGTCAATCTTCACAGAAGCAAAGCCCATACCACACGCACTGCCATGGAGTTGATTCTGACCCACAGCGCCCCTAGAGGACAGAATGGAACTGCACCACAGGGTCTCCAAGGCTGTCAGTCTTCACAGAAGCAAAGCCCAAACCAAAGTCACTGCCATTGACTTGACTTGACTCATAGCGACCCCTCCTTGGGTTTCCGAGGCAGTATCTCTACGGAAGTAGATTGCCCAACCTTCCTTCCAAGTTCTTTGTGTGAGTGGGAGGTTAAAAAACAAGAAAAATACAGACTAGTTAGCATGTTATATAACCTGGAATAATAAAGGGCTCTATTTAAGGCCAAGCAACCCTGGTGGCACAGTGGTTAAGCGCTCAACTGGGAACCAAAAGTTCGGTGGTTTGGACCCACCAGCTGCTCTGCGGGAGGAAGTTGAGGCAGTCAGCTTCCACATGGATTGACAGCCTTGGACCCCCTTGGGGGCAGTTCTGTCCTGGGTTGACAGGACTTGGAGTCAACTCAGTGGCAGTGGGCTTTTGTCAGCTTGTTTATTTAAGACTGAAGTGCTTTCAGTTAAGTGGTTTTAACCTTTGAGAAACAGGTGACCGGCCACCCGTTCTTCCTGCCGCTGTGTTTGTGTGAGGTTAGTGGAGAGCCGTCAGACTCCTGTCCTGACCCAGAACATCTGAGATGCGTGGACCTTGTTTTGTTTGGAAACAAGAAAGTCTGGGGCCTGGGCGGCTGCTGGGTCTATAACCAAGAACACAAGGGTCGCACTGGTGAGAAGTGACACGGGTTCATATCTGCTTGTGATGTGACGTTCGGTTACAGAGTCATTCAGAAGAAATACGCCACAGGGAAGCCGGACCAGCGGGACCTCAATGAGAACCTGGCTGCCGCCCAGGGGCTGGCCCACATGATCACAGAGTGCGACCGGCTGTTTGAGGTGAGCGACGGGCTCCCACCACCTTTCCTACAACTGTTGGAACTGGACAGGGCTCACGGCATAGTGGCCATACGTGTGCTGATTCTGTCTGTCCCCAATTTGATGATGGTGAGACCCCATAGGGCACTAGGCTTTGCCTCCCATGGGAGGGGAATCAGGCTTTGATGGGTCAGGACACTGAGGGGGTGATGGGTCTCACAAACACGGTGGCCTTGCTTTGGTCGCCAAGTTCAAGTCCAATCCACCAGTTAGGTAATGCTTGCCTTGACCTCAGGCTTTCCTGGGTGCAGAATCTGTGTATGTGTGTGTGAGAGAGAGAGATATTGAGCAACCCTTCCACCTCGGGGTCTGGGGTAGCCACACAGATTCTAATGCAGTGCGTGAACTTGACTTCTGGCACACATTTCATGAGAGTTGGCATTTATGTTCTAAAAGTAAGGCTATTTTGAAGTCACATTTGAAGTTGCAGTCAATGAGTCTATTTGCTTTCACGCCACTCACAGCGGGTCACGTGTTCTGAGCCCACGTGGGGTTGAACTGAGTGGAAACACAGGCAGACCTCGGGGATAGCGCAGGTTCGGTTCCCGAGCGCGGCAGTAGAGCCGAGAGCGCGAGGTAGCGAGTCACGTGACCTTTCTGGTTTCTTGGTGCATCTAAACGTTATGTGGATACCGCCCTGGGTCTACTGAGTGGCAACAGCGTGATGGAAAAGTTAAATATTGTGAGAATGACCAAAACGGGACCCAGAGACACGGAGTGAACTCACGCTGGTGGAAAAATGGCACCAAGAGACTCGCGCAACGCAGGGCTGCGACAAACGCTCAGTTCGTAAAAACCGCGCTATCTGCGCAGTGCGATAAAGTGAAGTATGCCTGTTACACAAAGTAAAGTTGCAGGGAAAAGATGGGTGGGAGGCCACTGCCACTGGTTTCTTTTTCTTTTTTTTTTTTTTTTCCCACTGCCATGTTTTGATTAAGAGTAAAACCTGTGGGAGCCGGAACCTGCGTAAGGGGGAAACCTGTCAGAGGAGGAAAGGTCAGATGTTTCCGCTCTGAGAGGGCCATGGGGAAGTGGTCCGACCGCAGCCTGTCACAGGTGGAAAACAACAGGGCGGTCAAGGCCCGGCTCCCCCAGGTTATACTGTGAATACCCCCAAGTGTGGGAAGGGCCCTGCGAGCCCGCCCTGCGGTACTGAGCCGAGTGCCCGCCCCCTGAGGGCTGCGGAAACGGCTTTGCCTTCTCCCCCCTCGGTCCCAGCTTGTCTCAGCTCGGCGTGTGACCCTGTCCTGTGTCTGTTGGCTCAGGTCCCGCCCGACATGGTGGCACAGTCGCGCAGCTCCTACCTGGAGGCGGACATCCACCCTCCAGCCCTGGAGGAGCTGGGGAGACGCCTGGAGGAGGGCGGAGCCCCGTTCCACGCCTACCTGGAGCACCTGATCCGCGACCTGCAGAAGGAAGCCAGGGAGAAGTTCAAAGGGTGGATCGCCTGCCCCAGCACGGACAACACGGAGCTGGCTTTCAAAAAGGTGCCCCGCGCCCCCTCTAACCACCGGGCAGTGTTTCATTTCTGCTCTTTGAGGTCCCTGGGGGGCTCTGAAGCTTACGCACTTGGCTGCTAACCGACAGGTCGGAGCGTGGCGTCCTCCCAGAGGCCCCTTGCAGAAAGGGCCTGCGTGTCTGCAGGTGGTTCTAAGGACACACTTCAGACAGGGCTGCAGTCCGACGACCATCGGAAGTAGGTTCAGATGTAAACAGAACACGAGCTCACCTCAGAGGCACCGTGGGTGAGGCCCCAGCCTCCTGCAGTAGGTGAATATCGCAATGAAGTGAGGCACGCACCGTTTGGTCTCCCCGTGCCTGTAGAGGCTAGGTTGACACTATGCTGTGGTCTGTGAAGTGCGCACTAATAGCAGGATGAAAACGTCGGAAATATTCTGAGAATGACCACAGTGTGATGCACAGAAACAAAGCAAGCACACACTGTTGGAAAAATGGCGCTGGTAGCCTTGCTGGAGGCAGGGTGGCCACAGACTGTCCTTTCGTGAAAAACACAGTATCTGTGAAGTGCGCTGAAGCGGGCTCCGCCTACACCTCTTTCCTTTAGGATTCATTTTTCTTGCCTTTTATTATCAGTATTCATAAATCTGATCCTTATTTGTTTTTAGGGATTGGAAACATTACGTATCAACTTACAGATATATTTTTACGTATCAACTTACAGATATATTTTAACACAAACATGCATTACAAAAATAACACAAATCATTTTAAAAGATGGCCATAAGTGGGGTTCGTTGTAGCTCACATACGTAACGAGTCGGGGACTACCTGTGCCTCTGAAAGGTCGCAGCCGGGGAAACCCACACAGCACCCTTCTACTCTGAACAAAGGGGTCTCCGGGAGTCGGAATCGATATGACAGCAGCTCGGTTGGTTCTGTGTACAGTGGAGGAGCACAGCCACCCAGCTGACGGGCCGTGACGCACCCTCATTCCAGACAGTAAAAGTGCTTCTTGGATCCTAGTCCTGTCTCTGGCACTTAGCTGTGTGACGTTGGGCAGCTCCTGTGCTTCTCTGTGCCTCAGTCTTTTCCTCTGTAAAATGGGCTTAACTCTGTCAGAAAATAGCTGCTGTCGAGTCAGGTCTCACTCACGGTGGGACCCTGTGTGTCAGAGCAGAGATCTGCCAGGGGGCTTCAGGGCCTGCTTGTCTGGCAGGGGTCCCCAGGCCTTCCTGCTGAGGCACCCCTGGGTGCACTCCAACCTCTGGGGTCTGATTTCTCAGAAGGGTATCCCCAGGCCTTTCTCCACAGCACCTCTAGGCAGATTTGCACCTCCAGCTTTCCAGTTAGCAGCTGTGAACGTTAACTGTCTGCACCACCCGGGAGTCCTACAGTGTTAGAGAAAAACAGACACAACTCACTGCCAGGGAGTGGATTCAGACCCACAGTGCCCCTAGAGGACAGAGTGGAACTGCACCACAGGGTCTCCAAGGCTGTCAGTCTTCACAGAAGCAAAGCCCAAACCACACTCACTGCCATGGAGTTGATTCTGACCCACAGCGCCCCTAGAGGACAGAGTGGAACTGCTCCACAGGGTCTCCAAGGCTGTCAGTCTTCACAGAAGCAAAGCCCAAACTACACTCACTGCCATGGAGTTGATTCTGACCCACAGCGCCCCTAGAGGACGGAGTGGAACTGCCCCAGAGGGTTTCCTAGGCTGTCAGTCTTTATGGAAGCTGACTGCCACATCTTTCTCCAGCAGAGCAGTTGGGCTGGAACTGCTGACCTTTTGCTTAGCAGCTGAGTGCTTTAACCACTTTGCCACCAGAGCTCCTTCCTGTCAGAGAAGGGCTATTTAAAGCCCCGATGGGTCAAAGCCATGCCCGCTGCATGGAAGCCGCGTGTGTTGGTGGGTTGATATTGTTGGCATTGTTACCACTCTAAGCTGAAGGATGCAACGCCCCCATGTGCAGAGTCGAGGCCTCCTGGGACGGACCAGCGGTCCCGTGAAGGCCCGGAGAAGCGTAGTAGGTTTCTGTTGGCACGGATCCCCTCTCACTGGCTCTTGGACGGTGTCCCTCTCAGGTGGGCGACAGGCACCCGCTGAAGCTGTGGAAGGCCTCGGTGGAGGTGGAGGCGCCCCCGTCGGTCGTGCTGAACCGCGTGCTGAGGGAGCGGCACCTGTGGGACGAGGACTTCATGCACTGGAAGGTGGTGGAGGCCCTGGACCGGCACACCGAGGTCTACCAGTACGTGCTGGGCGGCATGGCGCCCCACCCCTCCAGGGACTTCGTGGTCCTCAGGTGAGTCTGCCGCCGAGGTTCCAGAGAGGAGCCCTGGATGTGGGCCCTTCACCACCCCACCACCTGAACTCAGACCCCGCTGGGAGCCCCACGGCCACCATGCATGCGCCCCAGTGCAACCTGGCACTGCCCAACTTCCTCTCTCCCGTTCACAGCTGTGCATGGGCCTGCTCTGGGCCCCAGTCCTGGTGGTGCCCACACATTCTCAGGCTATTAATGTTGCTGGTTTCCTCAGCACAGAGGACCCGCATAGCTGCTGTGGGTCCCACCACACTCGCTGCCAGTTCAGCAAAGTCTCTCTGACTGGCTGATTTTCCCAACTTGGCCCCCCTTCCCTACCCCCAAGAAAGCACAACTTCTGTTTGTTTGACTCTCAAGACTTGAGTGTGCAAACACCAGTGCTCATGACTAACGATTGTGGACGGAAACCCTGGCCCAGCCTCCAGGGCCCGGACTGGGTCGTCCTTGGGAGGAAATGCTTTAAGATTTCAGGACGTGTTCTGTTTCCCTGGGGGCGCTCTGACAGGAATATACCACCAATGGGATGGCCTTAACAAACAGGAGTTTATTCTTACAATTTGGAGGCTTTAAGTCCGAGTTCAAGGTGCCAGGCTCTAGGGGCTGGGTGAAAGCCCCTCAACCTTGGGGTCCAGCTCTGCCTCCTGCTCCCAACCCACTGGAGCTAGAGGCGTTTCTTCACTCCGACGGCTGCTGGCTGCTGAGGCTGAGAAGCCCAAGGTTGACAAGTCAAAAGGCACAGTCCCGATGTTACCAAACCACACGGCAGGCCATTAACTTAAGTCCATTGTAAGTCCCAAGGTTGGCAGAGCATGGCAGGCTGCTGAGCAACGACACGGCTCCATGCAGGGTCCAAGCGTGTCATAGGCTAGAGACCATTCCCAAGGCTTCTCCTTATATACGGGGAGCAGACCACATCCCAAAGCAGCTACTCAGCTGCTTGTGGTAGATCCCACCATGGAGCTGATTGCCAGTCTCATCATGGGGAGTAACTACCACCAGCTGTGCAGCCACTCAGCCAGGCCCAGCCCAGTTGACACACAAACATAACCACCACAGGACCCAGTAGGCTTGCTGAGTCCACCAGCCACTCCTCGGAAGGAAGGTTGTGCAATCTATTTCTGTAGTGATACCGCCTCAGAAACCCAAGGAGGGGTCGCTATGAGTTGGGGCCGACTCAACAGCACATAACAACAACAACAACAACAATCATTTCTGGGGTTCATTCTGCTTCTATGGCTCCCGGAAGTCTGGATTCCATTGATAGTGTGAAATTCTGTTCCACATTCTTCCTCCTTTTGATCAGGGTTCTTCTGTAGACTTATTCATCAAAGTGATCAGCTGTGGTAGCCAGGCACCACCCAGTTCTTGTTTTGTTTTGCTAATCTTGACACACAATATTAGCAGTGTAAAAGGAATGACTAGTGAAATCGCCACATGGATATGTAACATACTTTGTGAATTAATTTTCATAGAGACTAAAGTTTCTTTTCACACAGGATTCTGCCTTTGGCCTGGGTACCTTGACATTCAGTGGTTGACTTTCTCTCAACTGTATGGTTCCCTTAGCAACCCTGGAATCCTGGTGGCTTTGTTACCACAAGTAATTGGCGCATTGACCGTCCTGTGGAAGTTAACATTTACCCCTTCCCTTTCACAGGCAGGAAACCAAATTGTTTTTTCAGGATGGCAGCTAAAGGTGGAATAGGCAGCCATAGGCCATGTGTGCCTCCCGCCTCTCTCGAGAGGCAGCTGAGGGCCAGAGTGCACGCAGGAACCTTCCTTCTTCTTCACTCACCAGCCCACCAATGTGCTATCACAGAGTCACTAGCTGTACCAGCCCCTGTTCTAGGCTCTGAAGATACCTCAGTGACCACAACAGACCCAGTCCCCATGCTCAGGTCTCAGGATGGTGCAAACGGTTTATGCCGGGCTACTGACCAGAAGGTTGTCAGTTCAAACCCACCGAGAGGCTCTGAGGAAGAGAGGCCTACAGTGTGCCTCCATAGAGGTGACCACCAAAACCATCTCATGGAGCACAGTTCTGTGACACATGGGGTCACCACATGTCAGCATTGACTCGACAGCAACAGCTTTGGGTGTTGGTTTTCATCTATTTCATTGGGGAGGGAAGTGCAGTAACTGGTAAGCAAAGGGGTGGACTGACGAGGGGTGCATTTCACGTACAGTAGTCAGCGAGCATCTCCCTGAGTGGCGCCTTGGTCCGAGCCTGGGAGGAGGGGAGCCTTTGAGGCTCTGAAGAAGCAGCAGCCCTCACAGAGATTACAGTGGGTCCCACCCGCTTCCTGCCACTAGGAGCCGCTTCTGTTCATAACAGTGCAAGTCAGGAGACAGTGAGGAGCGGGGGAGACCGTGGCCGCGTCTGCACATCTCCTGCCTTGAGAGTGGCCTCCAGAGGCGTCACCCACACCCACGGCTGGTGGGCTTTGAGCATCACAAGGTTCCTTCTCACTCCATTCCTTCTCAGGAGCCCTGGTGGCACAGAGGTTAAGTGCTCAGCTGCGAACTGAAAGGCCAGCAGTTTGAACCCAGCCAGCGGCTCTGCAGGAGACAGACCTGGTGATGTGCCCCCGTAAAGATGACAGCCCAGGAAGCCCTCTGGGGCAGTTCTGGTCCGTCACAGGGGGTCACCGTGAGTCAAAATCGACTGGACAGTACCCAGCAACAATAGGCTTGAATAGCCCTGGGAACAGGGTACTCAGTGCTGCGCAAGACAGCCCACCACACACGGGAGGCCCACCGACAGCTGTTTTCTAGCCCGAACCAAGCGTACCTTCCGACATCAGTTAGACCACACGGACTTCTCCTCCCGTTAAAGAGCCACTCAGATACTTGGAAGGAGCCCTGGTGGCACAGTAGTTAAGCACGCAGGTGCTAACCAAATGGTCGTTGGTTCAAACCCACCAGCTGCTCCACGGAAGGAAGAGGTGGCAGTCTGCTTCCGTAAGGAGACAGCCTTGGAAACCCTGAGGTGCAGTTCCACTCTGTCCTCTAGGGGCGCTGTGGGTCAGAATGGACTCCACGGCAGTGGGTGTGGTTTGGGCTTTGCTTCTGTAAAGATGACAGCCTTGGAGACCCTGTGGTGCAGTTCCACTCTGTCCTCTAGGGGCTCTGTGGGTCAGAATGGACTCCACGGCAGTGGGTGTGGT